AGCTTGCCAACTTTGCAGTTGAGCAAGTTCGCAATACGTCTGCCGTTCGCAGCGTCCAAGCCCATGGGCAATACTTCACATTTGTGGAAGTTGATCTTCAGCCCGGACTTGAGCTCGAAACTGAGGAGGGTGGCTTTAACCATAGCCACGTTGTGGAGGTCTGGCTGGAATAGCAGTAACGTGTCATCCACGTACTGCAAATGGGAATCCCCCCCCCCCCCGGGATAAGGTGTCCCACTACACCTTTGATGTGGCCAGCCTCAATGGCTTTTCTCAGCATTGCAGCCAACACATCAATGACAAAATTGAACAAGATAGGGGACATAGGGTCGCCCTGACGGAGTCTCCGCTTGTTCCGGAAGAAGTGCCCAACTTCTCAATTGACCGAGATCGCAGTCTGGCCCCCCGAGAGCAGCTGCATCACACGGTGAACCCAAACAGCCGAAAAGCCGCGGCTGATGAGAACTTGGCATAAGAAATACCAGTTAACGCGACCGTGCGCTTTTTCAAAAACTAGTTTGAGAAGGATAGCAGGTTCGTTCGTGCGTTTGAGCTCGTGAAGCACTTCCTGGAGGGCCAGCGAGCCCTCGAGGATATGGCGGCCCCTAATAAACGCCATTGCGATCGACTAACGGTGCGGTGAGCGATCGAGACGAGGCGTGTAGTACATGCTTTAGCACAGATCTTAAAATGAATGTTGATCAGCGCGATGGGTCGGTACTGACGAATGTTGTCCGCACCGTCCACTTTGGGGATGAGCGAGAGAACGTCGTAGTCTAGCGATGTCTACAGTTCCACGCATGAAGCCGTTGCACACCTCAAAGATGGGCTCGCGGTGGAGTGGCCAAAAGCGCTTGAACATGGCCACTGGCCACCCGTCCGGACCCAGCGCAGTGTCAGATTTCATGCTACTAAGAGCATCGTCAATCTCCTTGGGGAGAAACGTCAGTCCCAACTCGGCGTTCTCGTTGTCCAGGACCCTTTGGTAGGGCAGCCACACATCAGCGCAGAGTCCAGCCCTCTGATCCTCTCTGGTTCCCACCGAATTGATGTAGAACTCGTAGACGTGCGACATAATGTCGGATTGACGTAACAGGAGCCCCTACTCCGATTGCAGCCTAAGGATCGCGCATTTCCGTCTTCTTCCATTCGCATAAGCGTGGAAGTACTTGGTGTTAGCGTCCCCCTTGAGCGTCCACTTGAGGCCGCCCCTGCGCCTCCAGTACTCCTCCTCGCTCCGGAGCAGTGCCTCGAGCTGCCCTTCCAGGGTGTAGCGGTGGGCCCGTTCTTGCTCGTAGAAGGATCTCATGTTGGCCTGGGCGTCGAGACACGCGATCTCGTCGGCAAGTCTCGCCCTGAGAAGTTTGCCGTCTCGCCCTTGGTTAGCACCCCAACCCTTGAGGCACGCGCGAAGGTGGGCCCCTACCGCATTCCAGAATTCCATTGGGCCGCGCTGTGGACCAATAAGTTGCACACAGGAACTCCATTTTTCCCTAAAAACAGAGTCGAAGCATGGTATCTCGAACCAGGCCGTCTCAAAAAATAAACGGGGGCTGTGTCGAATCCTGTCCTCCCCTAAGGACAAGATTAAGGCCACGTGGTCGGACCCGATGCACGTCTCCGCAATGAGCGAGCACAAGGGGTACACCACCTCCCAGTCAGGTGACATGAACACGCGGTCCAGCACCGAACGCACCGGGGCGAGCTGCTTGTTTGTCCAAGTAAACCTAGCTCCAGTCCTGGCCACTTCCCTAAGCGCCATTGACGTGATTGCGTTGTTGAACATGACCACCCTTGGACAGTTGATGTTGTTGTTGTTCTTATCCGCTCCCGAGCGAATCAGATTGAAATCACTCCCTACCAACGGAGGGGTCTGTGCTGCGGAGATCGCGAGCACCTTGGCTTGGAGTTCTCCCAAGAACTCAGCCGAGCGGGAGTGGTCCGCTTGTCCGTAGACCTGGACAACCGCAAGAATACGTAACGATGCGCGGACTCGAATGTTAGCCGCAATGAAGAAGGAGCCAACATCCCAAGCCAAGACCTGCGTAGGTGCAGAGCAGAAACCTAACAGCATACCACCAGAATGACCCGTCGCTGGGGCATGGTGCCAAGCAAAGCGTTCCAGGGGATTAAACGCAAGGATATCTTGGTGGCGAAACTCCGTTCTGATTGTTTCCTGGAGCCCTACGATGTCGACAGCCTCTTTCCTAATGTACTCTTTAAGTTGGGTATGGCGACCCGCGTGGCTGAAGCCGCGAATGTTCCAGAACAGAGCACGCATCTAGAGGATTCTGTTTCTCAAGCGAACACCTAGAGGATTCTTGCTCCTTGCTCCTTGACCCCGCAGAAAAACAACTTCAAGCCGGCCATTTTTGTTCATCAACAGAAACACATAATAAGCCAACCAGAGAACTTACTTGACAAAGGTATCCGAAGTTTCCTGGGCAAAACAAAGATGTCTTACTTGACAAAGAAACACTAGTACATCCACTCACTGCCTCATAACTAAGCTGCTCCCTCTAATCCGAATTAATTGATGCAGCCTATATACAATGTCCATTTTACATTGTATAGAGGATGCATCAATTAATTGGAATAGAAGGGAGTAGGTTTTCTTTATCACAATTAAGTTAGGTTAATTCCTGCCATACATAGCACGTCAAACTCTCATATAGTTACTGGCATTAACTCTATAGCTGTTGTGGAACGAGCTAAAACAAGTTGCCATGATCAAGGATAAATCTCTCGTAGCGCATTGCCATCATCTCTGTGTCTTTGTATGTACTCTCTCTCTCTTCCTAAATATAAGTCTTTTTAAAGATTTCAAATGGACTATAACATACGGATGTATCTAGACATATTTTAAAGTGTATATTCATTCGTTTTGCTCCGTATGTAATCACATGTTGGAATCTCTAAAAATACTTATATTTAGGAACAGAGGGAGTATGTGCCACCGTGCTTGATCATCCACTCCTTGAGCCTCTTCCTCATGACGACTCTCTTCTCAATGGTGTCCTCTAGCTAGCTCCAGGGCCCCTGATTATGATGAATCAGTTTGCGAGCTACGATAACGAGACAAGATTTATGGTTGGTGACATATTAACAATGCAGGATATCAAAGTGAAAGCAGAGTCATTTCATATCTGCTGGTCATCAGCATCCTATTTGAAATACCACATTCCTCCTCGATAGTTTCGATCCATTTGGCGGTTATTCGCATCATCTAAATCCAACTCAAATAGATCAGAGCTAGTGTCCATAGAAAATATCTGTTGAATTATACCCTTGAAGCGTGTGAAACAACGACGAACATCGGCCTTCAATCATTGGAGCCGGCTCCGGCGGTGTGGTGGTGTCTCCGGCTTCGCACGCTTCAAGGGTATAATTCAACATACATTTTCTCTGTCGCGGTTGCTTCGATAGTATTTGGTAATATGTTTCGATGTGAAATATAGAAAATGAGAGCATGCACCTATTTGCATAGGGAAGCCAATTAGTTCCGAATCGGCTTCCCTGTAGCCGACAGGGGCCAATCGGCTGCCACCTGGCTGACTATGTATTATTATTAATCGCCGTATTGTTTCTATAAATTAATAAAAAAAAGTGTATTATTTTGAAAAATTAGCAGAAAGCATGGGGTAGCTGGATTAACAGGGACCATCATGTCTGTCCACCATGTGACGGTTCAAGCAAAATGAGCTGATAGTGTTGCTCGGTTGCGTGTGCTGAAAATTGCTACTGCCTCCTTCCATCTATATAGGGCTAATACGTTTTTCTTGACTAACTTTGACCAAATATTAGAACAATAAAATATGACATGCAACTTACACAAAGCACACCGTCAAATTCGTATATAAAAGGAGCTTCCAATGATATAATTTTCACATTAAACATCTCATGTACTATTAATCTTGTCAATAGTCAAAGGCGGTCTTGAAAAACGCATTAGGCCCTATATAGATGGAAGGGGGAGTAGCGCAAATGAATATGTACTGTTGGGTCCCTTGAAGTCTCAATAAATTGACGGATTCGGTCCCAACCATGGGGGATGGGACCAACCCTAACTATATGCAATCATGCACAACATCCGACAGGAAAAACGAAAATCATCTTTCGATGAACGGGTTGAGATCCTTTGCGGTACTATACAGTGCTGTAGTGCAAATGACACATGGGGCCGGGTCCACACGACAGCGACCGTACTGCACGGTGTGTTACAGCAGAGGATCCTAACCCTCAATGAACATATGTCGATCCACTGCTAACTGCAGAAATCGCTTTGGCTTTGCAGGGATTCCCTTTGCTGGAGAGAAACGTCCAACCACCAACATTTCAATATCTACACTACTGTGCTATATCTGTACTACTACTGTTCCAGCCCTTATCTGCTGCTGCCTAGTTTTACTGGCACAGTGGCACTGCAAGGAGGAGTTCTTGTTGGACTTGAAACGATCTAAAGTTGGTTCTGGCCGAAAAGATTACCCGTCATGGTGGTATAGTTCATCGATCCATCTAGTGATTATTCACAACGTCCAAATCCAAGTCAAACAGATCAGAGCTAGTGTCGCTGCCCCAGCCATGGTCATCACCATCTTCAGCTTTCTCCACTTGATGGCCATCACCTAATTTCGCATCAACATCAATCTTCTCATGGACGGCATGGTGCTGCTCTTCCAAGGCATGCCGCCCGCATCTCACCACCCACCTCTCCTCGCCGCCACAGGCCCCCCTCACTACCCGAATGCCTTGCAGCCTCCTGTCCCCCACCACCTCACCCAAATCACGGCCGCAAGCAGCTGCAACAGCTGTGACAACATCACTGCTCCCACGTGAGGATAACGAGGAGGCCTGGTGATGAGGCTTGTCGTCGATCCTCGCCGGAGACACAAGGGAGGAGCCGTAGAAGGGGGTGAGGTTGCTGTTAGTCTTGGCTCCCAGCTCCTTGGTGCCGCGGTAGCTTTCCTCCTGGTGATGCATAACTTTCACTTGGATCATCAAGTCTTCAGGTTCAGGCTGCCTGATAGTTACCGGGCTGGCAGCAAGGTCGGCTAGGCCGTCGAAGTAGCGTGTCGCTCCGAACACGGCGAGTTCGCCCGAGCTGCCGTGCCGAGCGCGGCGCTGCATTGGGTGTGAATGTTTGAGATGATCAGAGAGGTAGTGTTGGTGTGCGCATGTGTGGGGTTACAAGTTACACGTTTATAACGAAGTTGTGGGGGATGGGAGATGTATATTGGTGGATTGAAATTGATGGCTGAGAGGGAATGAATGAGTTGATTGGGCAGAGGAGGCAGCACATACGCACGCTAGTGCATCCAGTGTCATGTGTCAAGAAAGTTGTGGGCTGTAATGAATGAAAGTGGAGTAGGATCTCGTCCTCTGTTGTCCGGCGTATGATTGTAGAAGCGTCCTTTGATTGTCCATGTCTACTCCACACCTCCTGCATGTGAATCATGCTTGCTCTTAAAGGCAGCAATCAGAAGAATGTTGTGATAAATAGCTAGCAAAAGTTGTTCATGGGGCCATCACGTATGATCGTATGTACGTTTGCACGCACCTGGAAGCTTAACTCTGAAGAAACGTGCAAATTTTAAGACCATGGTAGATGACGGACTAGTGACAGAGAGTGTGCAAAAGTCTAGTTAACCATGTAAGCATAGAGAGTCTAAGGAAAACCTGACAGGCTTTGAGCTTTCTGCCGGACTCACCCTTTTGGGTTCAAGTCTTCAAGATGTCCTTTAAGTGCTTTCAGATAATGGTGTTGAGTGTGAGATACATGAAGCTGAGAAGAACGAGAGCATGACTTTTGAGGAAACATAAAGTACGAGTAGCATGTGCCATGTTCATGTGGTCCCATGACGATGACGGTAGAACTGATTACCGGGTGAAGTATCAACTTTATATGATGATACCATTCAGTAATCAACGAATCATCAAAATATTCCTCCAATAGACAGGGGAATGGCATGAGTTATCTGTAGCCCGGTGCTCTCTGTTGGTTGTATCTTCTTAACGTGCTGCACTGCATAAATATGGTTGCAGAGTTCCGGTTGGAATGCTAGAGGCAAGAGATATGATTACTGAAGGCTGAAGCACAACGTACTTTGTCCTCTAGTCATGAGGATCAAAGCTTTGGAGATATATCAGGTGAATATTGTTGAAGTATATGTGGATTGCATCCGCCACCAAACTACTCCCTCCGTCCGGAATTACTTGTCGCAGAAATGGATAAAAATGAACGTATCTAGAACTAAAATACGTCTAGATACATCTATTTCCGCGACAAGTAATTCCGGATGGAGGGAGTACTTTTTTAAGATGAAAGACTTTCATCCTGCTTTATTAGGAAAGCAAGGAGAATATGCACCGGTATTACTTGCATATGCCTTCGGATGACATAGTAAGTTGTTGTTGATTGCTAACTTGCAACCTTGCATGATAAAAAACCTGGCAACTTTGCAGGATTTCTGCATTGTCACTGCCCTTTTTCACTGGCCCCATGTCTACGAATGATCACAATCACACCATACACTGATACACCAAAACCAAGTGAAAGCATGTGCAGGTTACTGCTAAATGAAAGGAGAACTTGTTTTTTGGCAAGATAATTGGATTGGTGGGAAATCTTCAAGTTTACACTTTCCTTGACTTATGGGTGGGTTACTTTTAAGCAAACTTCTTTTGACTGTTATATTTTCAATTCAAGATGGGAGTGTCAGTTTTAGAAGATGTTTTTGGAGATGAGACTTTGGCAATTTGGCATAACTTGCTAGATGTTTGTGCTGATGCATTTGACAGAAGAGGATGAGCATGAGAGATGCTGTTGCCTGTTGTTAAATTTGAATTTCCGCGCCTTGAAATGCACTATAACTACATGCCCCAGTTACAAGTATGTTAGTTTGGTAAACAGAGAAAATGAGACCATGTCTTTTGAGCAAACATAAAGTATGAGTAGCATGTGCCATGTTCATGTGGTCCCATGTCGATGACGGCAGAATAATTACTTCTTGTTGTGTCAACTTTTCAGTAACCAACTAATCATCAAAATATCCCTTCAACAGACATGGGAATAGTGTGACTTATCTGTAGCCTGCTGCTTCCTGTCGGTCATATCTTCTTAACGATGTGCTTACACATGATTGCAGAGTCCCAGTCAGAGTTCTACAGGCAAGAGAAATGATTATTGAAGCACAACGTAACATGTCCGCTAGTCTTTAGGATCAAAGCTTTGGAGATATATCAGGTGAATATTGTTGAAGTAGTATATGTGGATTGCATATATCATTTCTCATCTGCCACCAAACAACTTTTTTTCTTAAGATGAAAGACTTTCACTCTGCTTTATTAGGAAAGCAAGCGGAATACGCGCCAGAGTCCTACTACTATATGCCCTCGAATGACATAGTAAGTTATTGTTGATTTCTAACTTGCAACCTTGCATGCTCTCCGCCCTTTAATTTCTTGTGCTGTCACAGCCCTCTCATTTGTCAGGAAAGACTTTTGCCATGCTTTATTAGGAAAGCAAAGCAGAATATGCACCAGAGTCCTACTTGTGTGCCTTCGATCGGCTGCAATAGGAAATTATTGCTGATTGCTAAGTGCTAACTTGCAGGTTCTGCCTTTAATTTTCCGTGTTGTGACAGCCAAGGGTTCTTTTTTCTGATACCAATTTTTACCAGTTTAGACTCGAAGGACCGGTTTACGTAAATTCTCAGAAATTTCAGATTTTTTGGTCCGAAATATTCAGACGAATTTCGGATTAAAAAAATTTAGCGCCAAAGTATATTATATTTAAACAGTGAATAGCCAAGCCGTTCCTTGATTTAGTGGTCACCATGACTCAGCTGAACCTGCATACCTGCAATTCACGAGTTTGATACTCGCACTTATTAACGAGAACTTTTTGTCCTCGAGCTGTCAGCAGTTAAAAAAATTAATGGAGCCGAGAGAAGATTCAATACTCAACCGCACGCAACGTACTGCATGAGCTTGTCCACCAGGCCATGAATAACCGCGTAAACTATTTAACATAACCAACGCTATTAGACCTAGCCTTTTACATTTGGATCCAAAATTTTAGGACGGTATCAGTATTTTTTGTGTGAGATTGGATTTTCCGGTAATCGGTCGGTTACCAAAAATTCGACCGAAAAAAAAAACTGACTCATAGCTCTTTGTCAGGGTTACATGTCTATGAATCATCAGAAACAGAACATACATCAAACCCAAGTAAGCATGTGCGGGTTACTTAGTTAAATGATAGGAGAACATTGTTTTGGCAAGATAACTGGGTTGGTGGGAAACCTTCAAGCTTACATTTTCCTACACTTTATGCGTTTTTTGTAAGAAATTTGTTTTGGTTGCTGATGTTTTCAATTCAGGTTGAGACTGTGAGTTTTAGACGGGAGATCTTGGCAATGTGGCATAAACTACTACTCCCACCGTTCCTAAATATATGTCTTTGTAGAGATTCCACTATGGAGTACATACGGAGCAAAATGAGTGAATCTACACTCTAAAATGCATACATACATAGCAAAATGAGTGAATCTACTACTACTCCCACCGTTCCTAAACTTGTCGAAGCGGGGTTCGGCAGGGCATAAAGTTTTGTGAGTTCTGTGGCATTGAGGAATCCATTGAGCACTTGTTTCTCTCGTTAGAAGTTTGCATAATATGTATCAGGGACCAATTAGGTCTGATAAACTGAATTCTGTCAATGACTGCAAGCAGTGTACCACGTTTCTTTACCAGGCATGTGCGACAGTTTGGTTGCTGGATTCTTTTTGAATCATTCACTACCTGTTGGGATGAGTGAAACTGACATTTGCTTATAGCATGAGCCAGTCCAAGCCAGTTGCATCCAAAAGGCCAAAAGTCCATTCTTTTTGTTGCCTGGAACATTCAATAATGGGACTACAACTTATATAGAACCATGTGTTGCATTTGAGGATCTGCTGAATTCCGCTTCTGACTCCTCTTGGTTGTGGAGAGATGGCCCTAAAGGTATACAGTTTGCTCGTGCTAATACACCGTTTGTCGGTTTATAGAGTATGCTGCAAAGTACAGGCGTTTGCAGTTTCCGCCGCTCTTAATCTGTGTAAGACTCAAGCCAGTGTTCTTGTATTTGGTGATATTGCTAATGGTCTATGTTTCCTGTGACATGACCAGGTGTTCAGCTGGCTGAATCGGAAGAGGCATTCTAAAGTTGAGTACTGCACTATTGATGATAACAAAGGTAAGCACATCAGGATACCTCCCTTTTATGCATGTGATCATACTCCCTCCATTTACTTATACAAGGTCAGTATGAAGAATACACTTTGCATCTATACAAGGCCATGAACGAGACAAAAGTTAATATATTTTCCTGGAAATAGCAACCTATTTAATATTTTCATGCATGCAGTTATAATGATACTCCAATCAGCTTTCTATCTCTTCCTTGCATGCATGGGGTGTATTAATGATCTCACTAAATGATAAGAAAATCGGGTTTAGAAAGCAAGACATTAAATTTTATCTTGGTACCTGTAATACTCCATATTATTGAATTTGTAGGTGTGAGTGGTGGCTTCGAGTGGTTTGATGTAATGTTCCTGTGAGACCTTTGTTGAGTAATTAACAAAAATGGCTGCATGCATCGATAGATGCTGAGGCCGAGGGTTTAACCTCCTTTTCAAAAAAAAAAAAACTAGCTTGTCATCACTTATTGGTTTTGATGATATGTCGAAATACTTAGGTCACGAGCAAGATTTTAGGGAAGAAGATCTCCACCCAGAGCAGCTCAACGGATGTAAGAGCATCTCCAGTCGCGCCCCCAGAACGGCTTTCCGAGGCATTTTTTTCGCGCCGGCGCCGAAAAAACTGCCCAGTCGCGCCTCCAGGAGCCCAATTTTCGCCGGCCTGGGCCGAAATCAGCGCCGGCGGACCAAGGCCGAACCCGGCACGCTGGGAGGCGCCCGGGGGCGCCGGGGCGAGTAGTTTTGGCGCGAAGCAACCGTGGGCCCACCTAGTCAGCGAGACGAGCGCTTCGTCGCGCTCATCGCCTCGGTTCCCGCGGGAATCAATGCCAAGGCTGCTGCGCTGCCGCCGACGGTCAGCCTTGCCATTGATTCCTCACGGGC